CACTAAACAATGAAAACCCTTATTTTATGGAACAACGATTTGGTGTGTTCCAATTATTACTTAATTTCTTTTTTTTTAAATTATATCTTTACATAATATTTCAAAATACTATTTTACCCTTAGCTTTACTTTAATTATTTGAATTTAGTCAAATCTCCTACCCTAGTATAATTAAGAATATAATTTATAAATTATAATATAGTACGATACTACCAAACCAAACAATTAAAATGTTATTAAACAACAACAAACAATACAATCTAACCAAACATCGTATCTACCATACAACACACTACAATACAATACATTATAAAACAATGAATAACAATGATCCAAACAAAGTATTAGATTAAAGATTGTTTACATGCTAATTTGCAAGGAAATGTTGTTTGCACTTAATAAAGAGCTAAATCTTAATTATTTATATTTTTTCTTTTATATACGAGTAGATATCAAATATTTTTTATATTACTTAAAATATATTGAGTTGAAGATGAATTGTATTTGTTCATACTAGTAGTAGAAAAGGATATTTGTAAATATGTGCTTAAAATTCATAATTGAAGTTCATGAAAGATCAAACACTAATTTTTACATAAACCGATCTATATAAAAGTGTAAAAATATGTATAAGCATCTCTTATACACTTTTATACCGAATGTACAATAAAATATCGTGTATATAAGTACTGCTGTGATAAAAATAATATTCATAAAGATCATATATTTTTGTAAAAATCTTCAATTAGAAGTCAAATGCACTCAAAAGGAAGAGTGTGAATAGAAAAAAAAACTAATAAAAGTAGGTATACTAAATGATTATGATTGTGGCACTTCACCCTTAGCCTTGTTTTCACCAGAATTACAAAATTTCACACCCACTTTCAAGGCCGGTCTCGTGTTAGGGTTAGGCCTCGAGTCGACATCGGGTCCCTAGTCATGGTGGGGTCGTTGTTGGCTACGGGTTAGGTTTAGTCCAGGTTTGGCTTGGATTTTGAGTCGGAGTCCGAAGCAAGGGTTCGTGTTTGTGGGGGGGGGGGGCAATAGTATTTGTCACTACTATATTTAAATGCTTTTGGAAAAAAATTTCCTTACTAATAGAACACTCAAAAACAAGTAAAATTCACTTATTTGTGCAAAAAATCATTTTCATATCATACCAAACTCACCCAAGTGTGTATACTTTTTCCTTGCTAGATCTACTGTTAAAAGGTCTCGACTTCAAGATTGAAATAGTTTAAACATTACATATAAGAAAATTACAGAACTTTCCTTTGTGACAGAAGAAAAGGTCAAAAGAGTACTTGTCAAGACACCAATTTAAAAATTCAATACTAACTTTCTAGTCAAGCTGATTCGAAAGTTCAGAGGAACGCTTAAAGAAGCATCAAAGTTGATATGTAGCTAACATGTTTTCATGTGATAAAAGCTTGTTTTTTAAAAAGTTCTCAAAATAAATTATTTTCCATACTGGAGTAATAAAAATTAAAGGGTCTTTATCATAAATTCCTGAAATAACACACACCCTGTCAGAATATGAAACTTGGGTTCAAAAGAATATGAATATTACAATAGCAAATAGAATATTTTTGCTCTTTTACCAATCAAAAATTATTCTTACTTTTTTTTTAAAATTATAATAGTAGTGTACTGGCCAGCTTGCCGTACCTTTACTATTTCATTGGGTATATGTCATCTTCTATCAACATATATATCAGGTTAATCTTTCGATTAAAAAAAAATTGTTTCTTGCCTTCACTAAAATTTAATTGAGAGATCATATAATTTGTTTCAATTCATTGACCACTAGATCACACCCGTGATTTTTGAAATATTTTTGGAATTTTTTCTATTGATGAGCATGGAGTCCGAACCAACGCACCTCAACTAATTCCATGGATAGCTGTCACCTCCCACAAGCCAAATTTCACAAGCCAAATTTCAAATCCTTGTAGATCACTTCTCTTGTTTGATTTGCTATATACTAGCACTCCACTTCTACCTAACTGTTTCTCTATTGGGGAATGCTGGAAAAATGACCAGCTGACATTAAATACCAGATTGCCAAGTAGAACTTTTCAATTCAAATTTAATCTCTTATGAAACTTATACTCATTTTATTTAAAACTTGTTATGGTTTTCTTTATAATGTAGATTTCAAATTATGACATTGGACAGCGTATGAAAATGCAACGAGCTTTGAGTTTCATAAACTAATCAACAAACTATAAAGTGATATACAGTACCTAAGTTCTGAGAGGACTCCCAACGGAGTTGCTGAAATTACAGTCGTACCTTCAGTCTGGAGAATGATCTTGATCCCTTTAGATAAAGCTTACTGATTCACAGTATGCATCGAACTACGACCTTAGCTCTGCAAACCTCTGTCTCACAGCATTGGCAAGTTTCCACTCACCAATACTTGTCAGGCCTTCGACAACCTTTTGCCTTGACCTTATGTATGGTATAAAGCCTCTCTTGGTCATTTCTATCACAAACTTACCAGCTAAAAGAAACTGCCGGCTCTCTAAGCACCCTTCAAGGACTGACTGGTGGCACTCGAATCCAACATGCACACCCTCATTTGTTAAGAACTCAATTACTTCAATTGCTCTCCTTATCTCTTTGTTAGCCCGTATTGCTGCCAAAGCTTTGACCAAAGTTTCTTTTCTGGGGCTCAAGCCAAATATGGCAACCATTTCATTCAACGTCTTTATGATAGCAGACGTCAGTCTTAGCTCGGACAAGTTGTCAACTAAAGAACCGTAACAATCCAAATCTGGACAACAACCAGCACGGCCCATGCCCTTCAATACATTAACTGCTTCATCTATCTGATCAACCTTACAAAGCGATGAGATCAGGTAATTGCAAGTGCCACAATCAGGTGCATATCCAATATCCTGCATTTCCAACAATATGCTTGAAACAGAATGGGATTTACTCCGACGTTCCATCCATGCAGCGGAGAGTAGGAGGTGAGTTTGAGGTACCGGAATGCAGCCAGAGCGAAGGGTACGCTGGAGAATGGCAAGAGCAAGTGGGAGAGGATTTGAGGTTTGGAGACTGTAGGAAAGGAGGCAGGAATATGCAATTTGAGGGCGATAACGAGGCCTGATCGGAGTAAAAGACTGTAAAATTTCGTCAACAATTCTGACACTTGTGTTTTCAGGAAAATTGGATAAAAATGAAAAGGGATTCGAAGTGCGGTGAAACCCTTCCGAAGAGCTTAGAATATCAGGAATCTGTTCATATCTTTTATCTTCCACCATAGCTTTAATGGATTCTTCAAGCATTCTTGCTGAAGAGATAAAAGAACGATAAAGAGGACGAACAGAGAATTGTAGCTTTGCAACAGCCATCACCCTGTTCCAGTTCTTCTTATTTTCCTCTCAAATGTAAATAAAATTAGTCGCAAATCTTTTTAATTGGAATGAACAGCTTAGTCTCGGCTCAGAATGCTTGAATTACCTACACCTGCAGAAGGGGTTTACAGCAATTGGACACATGATGTAGCAAAATGAATGAAGAACAGAAAATATGTCACAATTTTCGTTGTGGCATTACATCGAACAGGTTGCAGGCATAAAATGGGACACAAATAACAAACTCTATTTTGGAAAGATTCAAAAACATACAAATTCAACATTCTATCGAGTGGAAAAGGAGAGAAGTTATACCTGATCTGACTAAACACTATCACGCATACGTATGCTTCTGCAATTTTTCTTCTTCGGTTTCCAACATTTTACAACTTTTGTACTTACTTTAAACTATGAGGTGTTGTTATTATTCTCCTAATTAATTTGTTTATATTTTCAAATCACAATTCAATTTAATCAATAACGTTATAGCCAATTAAAAGAAGGATCAAATGCTTGAGTGTTTTATTTTTATTTTTTACATTTAAGATAATAACTTTTTTTTAAAAATGTATTGAATATTATTATCGCATAAAGTTCTCCTAAAAGTGTATATTATACAAATTTTAATGAATCAGCTAAATGAAAAGAAATTGCACTTTGCACTTATATTCATTAGTACATGACACTCGTTAGTGATCATAATTCATTTAGTTGATTATGAGGCCATTTTTGTTGTTGTAATTGATGATAAATTATCAGTGCTCTGATAATGGAAAAAAAGAAAAAAACTAAACAAGTGAAAATAAATTGAATCTTCATAATTAAATAGACACATATCCTACGTAAATATTTCAAAGACACAAAAGTGATGATTCCTTTAAAGTTCTGAATTTCTGGCATCTTTTTTTGACTTTTTTCGTAAGTGTAAAACCGCAAAAATATATATGAAAAAATCCACCTAGTTTAAGGAACATGAATTAGTAATAACTAGTTTAGAAAGATGAATTACAAAAGAGAAGAAAAATCAATAAAACTTAATAGAAGATTCATCTTCTCAATAGGATAATGTAAGAAATGGCCACGAGAGCCAAAATGTATAGAAACTGCAGTGGCGGAAATGAGGAAGCTCTGTAACTATCGGCAAAGCTTATTTCTCTGCCCCCAGCTGCAAAATTCAACATAAACACATTGTTAATATCTAGAGAGCCGAAAGAATTCTGAATCATGTTTACTCAGTGTGAAATCACGTTATGGGTTCAGCTTCATCAAATTTAGATCGAGTAAATTATTTGAGTGAACAAGAGAAAGAAATGTTATGTCTCACTTACCACAATCTCTAGTAGAATTACTAGTGATTGAACAAATGCACTGCGCCATCTCAGTCTCTACATCAAATCCACAAGTCCCACCAGATTTAGCACACCGGCCACATCCAGTGTCCGGCACGCTAAATGACAATTTCATCCCATAAAGCCAATCCAACGGACCAACACCTTCCAATCTATCCGTATTATAAACACTCGTATAATGCGTGCAATCCAATATATCCATACTCATATACTTCACCGTTTCATAACTCGTGAAACAACACGCCGGCGTACTGTTGGACAGCAAATGAAACAACTTAAACGAAGTGCACGAACCGTAGAGTTCGTCACACGAATGACCGGAGAAATTAAAACAGAGCGACTTGTAATGGTTAAGTACCGGCGAATCAATGGAGCAATTGACGAGGACGAAGACCGTGTCAGGCGTAGGCGGGATTATAGCTGATTGAATTTCTGACATTTTGAAGTCGTGGTGAGGTTGTAGGATTGAACAAGTAGACATTGAAGGATCGAATATCGTCATGGTTTGCTTTTCGTAGTCGATTGATTGGACTTTGTAATTTCCTGACGGTGTTAGGAAGAATAAATCAGTAGCGGAGCAATTCAGCATGTGACGATACTGCGGGGCGCCGCAGCCATCGTCGATGCTGAACGGGTAGTTTATGGGAATGTTGTTACAGAAATTGCGACATGTTGAGTGAATTTGTGGGGATTGTGATAGTAGCAACAGAATGAGGTATATTGTTAGATGATTGAATGTGAGAAACGATGATTTTGAGCTAGCCATTGGTAAAGGTGAAAGAAAGGGAGTTTTAATTTGTTGTGAAAGGTTTTAGATTTGCAAAACACAGATTTCAATGAGTAACTTCTTTTCTTTCAAAGTTCTTGCAGAAAGCAAATGGTGAGCAGCTGTCCGCAATTTTCTCCTAATTTTTTGACCGTTGGGCCCGCCGTTTCACTGTCTTTTACAGGGCCCCACACTGGAAAAAAGAATCAGTATTCGATGATCAAGAAATGAAGAATTCTTTTTTCTTATTCAAGGGAAAGGAATAAAGGACAACCACTTTCAATTTCTTTAGCACATTGATCGATTCCCGATCAACGCGAGCTTGTTGCAATGTGGTATTTAATGTCAGCTGGTCATTTTTCCATCATTCCCCAATAGAGAAACAGTTAGGTAGAAGTGGAGTGCTAGTATCAACAAGAGAAGTGATCTATAAGGATTTGAAATTTGGTTTGTGGGAGATGACAGCTATCCATGGAATTAGTTGAGGTGCACTGGTTTGGACTCCACAGTCATCAATAGAAAAAATTTCAAAAATATTTCAATAATCATGGGTGTGATCTAGTGGTCAATGAAATGAAACAAATTATATGATCTCCCAATTAAATTTTAGTGAAGGCAAGAAACAATTTTTTTTTATCGAAAGATTAACCTGATATATATGTTGATAGAAGATGACATATACCCAATGAAATAGTTAAGGTACGGCAAGCTGGCCAGTACACCACTATTATAATTTTTTTTTAAATGTAAGAATGATTTTTGATTGGTAAAAGAGCAAGAATATTCTATTTGCTATTGTAATATTTATATTCTTTTGAACGCAAGTTTCATATTCTGACAGGGTGTGTGTTATTTCAGGAATTTATGATAAAAACCCTTTAATTTTTATTACTCCAGTATGGAAAATAATTGATTTTGAGAACTTTTCAAAAAACAAGCTTTTATCACATGAAAACATGTTAGCTACGTATCAACTTTGATGCTTCTTTAAGCGTTCCTCTGAACTTTCGAATTTGCTTGACTAGAAAGTTAGCATTGAATTTTTAAATTGGTGTCTTGACAAGTACTCTTTGACCTTTTCTCCTGTCACAAAGGTAAGTTCTATAATTTTCTTATATGTAATGTTTAATATATTTTGTGTTGTATGGTAGATACGATGTTTGGTTAGACTGTATTGTTTGTTGTTGTTTAATAACATTTTAATTGTTTGGTTTGGTAGTATCGTACTATATTATAATTTATAAATATTCTTAATTATGCTAGGGTAGGAGGTTTGACTAAATTCAAATAATTAAAGTAAAACTAAGGGTAAAATAGTATTTAGAAATACTATGTAAAGATATAATTAAAAAAAAAGAAATTAAGTAATAATTGGAACACACCAAATCGTTGTTCCATAAAATAGGGTTTTTCATTGTTTAGT